TGATTTTTGAGGTCTTCCCACCTCTTCTACTCTTTGGAATAGTTTGTAAAGAATTGATACTATTTCTTTTTTAAATGTTTGGAAATTTTCACTACTTAAGCCATCTTAGTCTGAGTCTTTCTTGTGGGAAGTTTGTAAATTACTAATTTAGTTTATTTACTTGTTGTAGGTCTATTCAGGTTTTGTATTTCTTTTTGAGGCAGCTTTGGTAGTTTGTCTTTCTGGGAATTTGTCTAATTCATCTAGGTTACCTAATTTATTGGCATACCATTGTTCATAGTAGTCATTTATACTCCTTTTATTTCTATAAGGTCAGTAGTGATGCCTTCTCTTCCACTCCTGGTTTTGGAAATTTGAGTCTTCTCTCTCTTTTTCTTGGCCAGTCCAGCTAAAGGTTTTTTCAATTTTCCTGATCTTTCAAAAAGCTACTTTTGGCTTAGTCGATTTTCCATAGCGGGTTTTTTTTTTTTAACTCTTTATTTCACTATAATTTTTATTCCTTCCTTCTGCTTGCTTTAAGCTTAGTTTGCTCTTTTTTGTTCAGTTTCTTAAGGGGGAGGATTAGGTTATTGATTTAAGATCTCTCTTGTTTTTATGTGGGTATTTACAGCTATATACTTCCCTCTGCGCACTACTCCCGTACTCCACTGCTACTCCCTCTGAGCTGCATCCCATAAATTTGGGTACGTTGTGGTTTTTTTCTCCATTTATTTCAAAGTGTTTATTAATTTTCCTTGTGACTACTTCTTTGAGCCACTGGTTATTCAGGAGTGCAATATTTAATTTCCACATTTTTGTGAATTCCCTAAATTTCCTCTTGTTATTGATTTATAATTTCATTCCATTATGATTGGAGAACATACTTTGTATAATTTCAATCATTTTACACTTATTGAAGCTTGTTTTATGGCCTAGCATATGGTCTGTCTTAGAAAAATGTTTCATGAGGGCTTGAAAAGAACATTTATTCTGCTGCTATTGGTTGGAACATTCTCTAAATGTCAGATTAATTTGGTTGATAGTATTGTTCCGGCTTTCTATATCATTGTTGATTTTCTGTCCACTTGCAGCATCCATTATCATGAATAGAATATTAAGTTTCCAACTATTATTGTTGGATTATTCATTTATCTATTTAATTTTGTCTTTTTTTTTTCCTAAGCATTTTTGGGATCTTTTGTTAGGTGCATATATGTTTTTAGTTGTTATAATTTCTTGATGAATCATCCTTTTTATCATTATAAAATGCTTTAACATTTTAAATATTTCTCCAAGGTGTCACATTTCTCTCTAACCCACAACTACTCTAAAGCAGGTGTACATCATCTCTTGACCAAGTGATTTGTCTAAAATGCAAAGTTCACCACATCACTCTCTTGCTTAAAATCTTTCTCTTCAATAACTACTAGATAAACTCTGTTGGGCCCAAGAGAGTAAGTAATCTTCCCAAGATCAAATTAAAACAGTGACCGAGCTAGGACTATATTCCAGGTTTCCCAGCTCCCAACTGAATACCTCCCCCTTTACTGTATGTATCACTGAGCTGGGTACTCTGGACTAGCTTATTCAAACTTCGTTTAATTATCCTTCTTGTTTGAAAAGCTGGAAAGTCAAAAAGTCCACTTTCTATACTCACTTGCAGCCATAATTCTGGAGATAAAATAACATCTATCAATTAGAATCGAGTCCTCAAGATTTGGAAAGCAAATGTGACATCTTCCAGTTACATTTGCCTATTCCTGACAAGTGAATTGTGCAGACTTGTCACACAAATAATTTTAATGTTCATTCATTAGCAGTGTTTGCCAATAATCAGTTATGATGGTGACAGCAGAAGCTGTGGTTTTTCACTTTGGCTTTGGCTTTGGTGTACTCTTAAATTCATGAGATGCAGTTGGAGCCTCATAGATACCAGCAATTCTGGTTAGTTTTTTACTTTTGTTTTTTGTTTGTTTTGAGAGGTAATCTGTAAATTCTGCCCTAGTTGGGGCTGCCAGAACCATGGATCCATGGTCCCAATTCTAATGGGGACCCCATTTTCCTGGGCCCTAGAGTTCACACTCACAATCTGAGACTGGAGCCCACAGACCCAGTGGAAACACTGTAATCCCACTTCTGGGAGTACTTAAACTCTCAAGCCCACACTCTGGATTTCCTAAACCCTGTCCTAAGGGCTTCTAGGCCAAGAATCTCTGATCTGAGCCCCTTACCCACCCAAGACCCCTAAGTCCAGTTCTGTGTCTCCAAGACTCAGATTTGAACACACAGACACAGTGAAAATGACTTATACCAGCTTGGAGCCTCCATCTAGAGAACCCCCACCAGACCAGGACCTCCACCTTTAATGATGCCCATGCAGAGATTCCCTCCATGGTCCCTCAAGCCAGATGGGGATATTTTGGATTGGGAAGGGATTTCAAACCTGATCAATCCTTTCCCCCATCCCACCCATCCAAGAGCTACCTTACCCCAGAAGCCCAAACCCTAGTCCAAATGGACTCTCAAGCCCCCAGCCAGAGGACAGGTCCCCACTGCAAGGCCTCATATTATTTCTCCATGTCCAGCTGCCAGAAATGTATATTTTGTAGGGAGGGGGCAGGCTCAGGGCAAAGCAGTCACCTGACGCATTTTTTTTCCCTCGGGAATCTTAAGTCTCAGCCATGTTCTCTGTTAGGTGGTTTTTTGAAGGGTGGTGGCTGCTGGGGAGGCAGGGGCCTGGGCAGGGGGGGCTGGGAAATGTGCCTGCAGGACTTTGGTGGCAGCAGCGGTGGTAACAGAACTCTGGTTGGTTAGTTCTATATTCTTCTGGGAGTTATTCCTTGAGACTCCACCTAGAACCTGTTCCTCTTTTCCTTCCAAGTAGTTTGTAGGCATGTAATTTTTTATATTAAACTCCTTCCTACATCTAAAATACAGGTGGGTTTTCTGCTCCTTACCATGAATCCTGACTGATACAAATATCTCCTAAATTATAATTATGACCTCCTTAAAAACATACACGTCCTCTAAAATGACACATCTTTTCTCTCTAACCAGATATCTTCTATTACCCATACATAAGACTGGATGGATTCTAGGCCATAGTGTATCTCATTTTTGCCCCCTGGTTGGATTTTTGTTGCAAGAGGTTTTTTCCCCTAGGTAATTTATCAGGGAGTCAATAAACAAAACAATCCCATTACTTGATCTCTTAGGCATTTTGTTCACATATTCAAATTAATTAGCCTTTAGCAATGAAATTAAGGCCATTACTAACATGAGTTTGATAGTGTACCATCTTGCCAGTCTCTGTTTTCCCATTGCCTCATTCCTCAAAAATGACAAAGAACAGACAAGTTCTTGTGCCAATGTAGACTAGTACTATCATGGAAAAATTACTGGACTCTGAGAAGACCAGGGTACTTATTTCCTCAGTTGTTTTATATCCTTGTATTGATAGCTTTTGCAAATTTAAGTCCAGTTCCATGTCAGATTTCGCTGATGCAGAATATGACAATGCAAAGCTGTATTCAAGGGATTAATAGTGTATTCTTGATTGCCTCTTCTCCCTGTGCCCCAATCTCAGTTCAGGGTATTCACAGGTTTCAAGAAATCCTCTGTGTTAGTCAGGATTCTTCAGAGAAGCAGAACCAACATGATATCTATCTATCTATCTATATATGTCTATATATGGATATATATGACCATACCAATATGATACATATATATCTCCAACACAGCTATAATTAATATATCTATAGTTATAATTATAATTATATATTTATGTCTATCTGGGAAGCCCCAAATCTAGGAAGAGTTGATGTTGCAGTTCAAGTCTAAAAGCTATCTGCTAGGAGAATTCTCTCTTGCTTGGGGAAGCAAGGCCTTCAAATGATGGATAAGGCCATCCACATTATAGAAGGTAACCTGGTTTACTCAAAGTCCACAGATTTAAACGTTAATCTCCCCCAAAAACACCTTCACAGAAACATCCATAATAATATTTGACCACATATCTAGACACCGTGGCCCAGCCAAGTTGGCACATAAAATTAACCATCACATCCTCTAAGAGTATAGAGAGAGGGAAATACAGCCTCAGAATGTCAGCCTAAAATGGGTGGATAAATTAGAGGTCTCCAAATTTCTCCTTTACCACTTCTGAACTGGGAAGTTCAGACAAATAGGTAGGCCCAGAACTCGAAGTATTTTATAGGATTCAAAATTTCCAACTTGTGCCGCCTTTTGGAATTTCTCTTCAGATGGGACCATTGTAGATTATCGAAGTTTCATTAAAAGGAAGAGAAGTGGAAAGAGCAAGTAACTCCATCTGCAAGAATTGAGGTCAGACCTCAATTTTACAATACTTAAAAAAATGAATGGTGTCCATTTATTTTAAAAGATAAAGCTGCTAATTAGCAACATGGAAAAATAGTTAAGATGACACATTGTTACAGCTATAAAAATAAAATGTCAATGTTAAAACATTACATGTTTAAACAAAAATGTAAAGAACACAAAGATATGCTAATGGCATGAGGTTTCTTTTTGGATTAATGAAAAATTCTAAAATCACGGTGCCGGCTGTACAACTCTGAATATACTACAATCCATTGCATTGTACACCTTAAGTTGGTGCACTGTAAGACACAAAATTTTGTCTCAATAAAACTTATACAACAACGAAAAGAACAAAAAGAGCAAATAAAGGCAGCCAACGGGGAGACTTGGTAATGAAATGGTGAGCTAAGAATAGGAGAGGCATTGATGAAGGAAGGATGGGCTGAAGAAGGGATAGTGACGGAGGCCGGTGAGACCAAGGGGAGAAAACGTGGAAGAGGCCGGATGGGCTAGGGACCCCGGCGCTGAGGAAAAGGTGAAGGCCGCAGGGTTAACCTCCGAAAGGCGGTAACGGGTGGGGGTGGATAGAAGAGGGCGTACTCAGCGCATGCGCCAGAAGCCTACTGCGGCGATCCCGGAGAGGCAGTCCTTTAACTTGCATCAGCACTGCGGTTTAAGGCGCCACTGGTTTTCTTTCGTCTGTCCAGTTCTACCTTGGCCTGTGTAGCCACCTTAGACCCGCGGAATCTGTGCCGCTGCTCCCTCTACCTTCTCTTTCGGCGGCCAGCACTAAGAATTCGTGCTACGACGCTCGATTCAGCCAGAAGGTAGGAGAAGAACATGGAGGGCGGCGGAGGGAACTCGGGACGGGGAGATCCTTAATCTGAGTATTCTCCCGGTTCACGAGAGGAAAAAGTGGGGGACAGCATCGGTCTCAAACCTACAAAAGGATGTTGAGAGTGTACTTTCCATTGTGAAAGGCTGTAGACTCCTTTACTCTAATCATGGTTGAGGCACATGAGCGTCGGTATTTTCCATAACGTTGTTAAAAAATTTGGGGTCCCTTACGTAGCAGAGGTGTATTTAAAGGATGGGCCTTAGGTGTAGGCTTATCCAATTATGAGAGCTTTCTTTGCCTTTGTTCTGGGTAGTGGGTCTTATTACGGAGACTGAGGGTCCTCCAGCTCCTCCCTGGGGGCCGGGGCGGATTCCGTCGAGATTTGCTCTCTGCAGTCACCTGCAGTGTTTCCATTTCCCTAGTGTATCACACGGACCCCCATTAGGAAATGCTGGTAGTGTCCCTCCTTGAGTAGTGGGGCACAGCTTTACCGATATATATACATGCATCAGGCAAGTATATATAAGAAACGGAGGAGGGAGGGCTGGGCATAGAGGACGGGCTTGGTGCGCATGTGTATTTGAGAGGTTGGGGGAGGCGCGGGATCGCGCTTGTATATTTGAGAAGGCCCTGATGCGGAGGGAAGGGGCCCCAGTTGGGGAGAGGGGAGGTGAGCACGCGCAAGCTTGGGGCGTTGCGGGGGGCGGGGGCAGGGTGTCGAATGCGTAACTAAGAAAGCAAAGTTTCTAGTACACAGTTGGGAGGGAAAGTGAAGGCGCGCATGCGTACTTGAGACGACATTGTGACTGTTGGCTTTAGGGTGAGAGAGGGGCGCAGGCGTATTTCAGACGGAATGACTGGGAGGGGAGGCGCGCGCCGTGGGTGTAATTAAGATTGCAAAATGGCGAGGGGGGAGGTAAGTTGTCTTTGCTTGGCCATCTTGGGCTAGGGGGCCCTGCAGAGAAGTAGAATCTACCTTTCTGGTTGGGTGAAGGGATCTGTCGACTGGGAGATGTCTTAGGCTGTGGCCAAATCCACCGGAAATTCACCCAGAATCTTAGCCTTTCAGTGGCCCATTGATAATATGTGGGTTTGAAAATGGGGAGATGACTGTCTAAAAGGTTTCGGCAGCTGACTGTGTGTAGGAAATGCATAAAATTGGAGCACTGGAGCCAGGCCACATTCCGGCAATACACATTTGGAGGGCTCTCTGTCAGACTGTGGGCCGCCGTACTTGTCTCTGGACACATTCTCTCGTCCCATCAGAGCAGCAGAACACAGTGATTGCAGTATTGTGAGAATTTATTGTTATGTTGGTTAGAAGCCCTTGATTTCCCCCACTGCAGAATACTGGTGTGAGGATTTGGCTGTGTTTCCAAGTGCTTGTTACACTTTAAACCTAGAATTTGGGCAGATGGTAATGATGGTATGAAGGTGATCTAGGTTCATATCCTTTCCTCTAAATTATTTTTTTTTCTGTAAAACTTGAACCAGGGCAAAGATTTTTTTAGGTAGCTGTACTGTCGTGGATCTCAGAGGGCTGTCAATGAATTTCTACTGTAAATCGCTAAAACTAATAGTTTAGCACTTAAATATGTAGCACAGAGGGCACAGGATTCAAAATAGAAGAGACCGCGGTTGCCCAATAATCCTCGCAGTTATCTCATACTGGTCCTTTTCCTTCTCTGAGCCCATTTCTCTATAGTAATAATTCTGTTTAAATGTCTGTAGCACATAAAACTATATGCCAGGTGCTGGTCTACATGCTTTTACACATGCCTTAACTCATTTAGTACTCTCGACAATCTTATGAAATAGCAGTACCATTTTTCATATTTTACAAATGAGAAATGTGGGGGGCACATAAGATTAAGTAATTTGCCCAAGGCTTTACATCCATTTGGATGGCTGAAACTGGATTTTTATCCAAGTTGTATAACTCCATAATGCTGTGCTCTTAAACATTATGCTTTATTACCCTGAAATGAGGGTTCAAAATTTAAAATACCCTTCTTTTATGATTTCAAATTTTGTTTGTAATTTACCTGTGCTGTTTAAGAAAGGCGACCTGTTTGCTCTTGGCCGCTTTTTATTCAGTGCATTGTACAGGGCTACAGGGCTACATATGGAGAAGACAAAAAGTAAAGAATTGTTGATTTGGAGCCTATCGGGGTGGCCATCCTTATCTACCCTTGTCTTCTATGCTTTTTGTTCTGCAGAGGGCTTAAAATGGCCGACTGCCGCAGACTGGACACACCCTTCTTGTTTTGCCTGATTTGAGATCTGGTCAAATGCTTTGAGACAGCAGTCTTTTGCTGCAGTAGAGATTTTTTTTTTTTTTTTGGTTACCCATTATTAATGTTTTGGTGTGTTAATGCAAATGTTCAATAATAAAGGAGAATTTTTTTCTTATAATAAAAGACTGAAAATACATGCATTTCTTTTTTATTATTGGTTAGGATGGATTCGCTGAAGTGGAATTACTATTGTCAGCGTTTTTAACACTCAGTATGTATTGACAGATTTCATTCTGAAAAGGTCATACCAGTTTTTACTCACACAGGCATTGAGTGGTGTTTGTTTTAAAAAATATGTTATGGATAAAAAACAGTAGTGTTTTAATTTTGCATTTCTTTGGTTATGAGTGAGTTTGGACTCCTTTATTTTTAGTTTAATTTTCTTTGGTGTGATGTTAGTTCAGGTCTTATACTGATTTATCTATTGGAGTTTTAGTTTAGTGTTATTGTTCTATTTGAAAGTGTTCTTCAGATAAAGGCTATTACTCAGATTTCTGCAGTGTTACATACATCAGGTTATTGTTTGCCTTTTAATTTTTGTTTTTAAATTTTGGGTTAGTAGAGATTCGAAAGCAAGTGGTCAAATATCTGTCTATTTTGTAATTTTTCTTCCATTGTTTAAGTTTGAATAGTTCCCTCAATCTAGAAATTTGGTACATATTCATTGTAGCTTTATCTGAGGATAACCATCAAGTTTGGGGGGAAAGGATCTGTAATTTCACTGCCCAGAGATGACCCAGTGTTTATAAATGTGTTCACGTCTTTTCATTCCCTGCATTTTTCTACAGTTGATCATGTATTTGTACTATTTTACGTTGTGTTTTGTGTTTAACATTATAGCATGCATTTTTCCACGTTAAACATTGTTTGCATTTGTCATCTAGTGGTTTCATGGTGTCTACTTGTATGGAAATATTTTTGAATTTTCAGTATTTTAAATGATGTAATGAATGTCTTTTCAATTTCATTTAGTTTTTATTGTTTGTTTATTTTGAGTTATTTCTTTATAGAATGGAGTTCCAGAATTAGAATTGTTCATCAAAAAGTTAGAACGTTATAAAGATTTGCTATATAGTAACATTCAAAAAATTATGTCATTTGGGGCTGCCTGGGTGGCTCAGTGGGTTGAGCCTCTGCCTTCGGCTCGGGTCGTGATCTCGGGGTCCTGGGATCGAGTCCCGCATCGGGCTCTCTGCTAGGCAGGGAGCCTGCTTCCTCCTCTCTCTCTCTCTCTCCACTTGTGATCTCTCTCTGTCAAATAAATAAAATATTTAAAAAAAAAATTATGTCATTTTTTTGTACCCATCTACTTAGGTATTTAGAAAAAAATTTTTTGCTACCTTATATGTAAGAGAATGGTGTCTTTGTTTTACTATCCATTTCTCTGATTCCTGGTGAGGCCAGACTCTCAAATGTTAATTATTAGCTCTTTGTGAACTATTCGATTTGTGTCTGAATGTTATGTATTTGTAAGAGCTCTGTATTATGTGTTCTGTATAAGGATCTATTATCCTCTGTCATTTATTGCAAATAACAAACGTGATTTGTTGCACATATACTCCTGGTATATGTTGCCATTGAGTGTTAAGAAATGTTTGTGATTCCAAAGACAACTGTTTAATGGGATACATATCAGGTTCTTGGTAGCCATTTTGAGATAACATTTGTCTGTCCTTTAAATAGATAGCCCTGTGTTTTTATTTAAATAGAGAGCAGTCTTGAGTGCTGCTGCATAGCATTGGTACACCCTGGCTTTGGGTGTGGGAAGAAGACATGGCAACATTTTGTCCCTAATAAGAAACCAACTTAGACAAGACACAAAGCAGTAGAACCCTCCCCCCCATCCGTTCGGGGACTGATCTTATTTTGAATACTTAGGAGTGTTCTGGAGGAGGATGTGGACATACTGTGATGTCCACATTTATAGATAACATTGAACTCTTCAGGGGTGTAAAATGCTAGGAGAAACAGACTGTAACACCTGAGAAGGCACTGTGAGTGTGGGCTGACAGTGGCAGAATGGAACAATGTAGGCAAGAGCAATAAGAAGACTTCAGGGGGAAGTAGTATGTTAAGCATATAAAAGTGGCCTTGAAGACATTGGGTCCGAAGATGGGGACCTCAGTGTTAAATGGCAACAATCTGTTGATGTCATCAGCTCAGTTTGCTGGTTGCAGAGACAGAAGAGCCATTAAAACCCTAGGCCTTATTAAGAACAGTATGGGGCACAGAAAAATTCCATCCTGTCTTTGTATAAAGCCATCTGAACCAAGTGATTAGTTAACACTAGTAATCTCTCCTCGAGTCTCTTATTATCACTCAATGTTGAAAAGTGGTTGGGAAAATTGTATTACCTCCTTGTTTCATATTTCTTATTTATTTTGTTATTTACTATTATGTAGGTAATTTAGATATTCTTAAAATTTGGGGGGTGAGGTGTCTTAAAACATTTCCTGAAGCTGGGTCTCTTATTTGGGGTTCCAGAGAATCTGTTTAATTATATTTATTAAGTCAAGCTTTCTAAATTATCATTCCCAATCTATGGGCTCTATACTATCTCATATATTTAATAGCATTCTGATGTTTACTTTTTCAGTGAAGGGTGGGGATTATAGGATTTAGAGGTGCCCAGTGATTTGTTACTTACTGCTTTTTGCTATCGAATTACACTGGGTTAATCCAGGTAGTTATAAGCCCCCATTTTTCAGCATTTTGTTAGTTGCAGGTGTTAAAGGAGGCTTACTGCCTGTTGGGGGGAGGTTCACAGATGTGTAATAAGCAAAACAAAACAACAGAGCTTGTATTGTAGAGGAGGTAGTTGAGAAGAGCCTTTACTGGATGTCTCTGTCTGAAGCGTGGGAGTCCCATTTTACATCATGGCCAGTGTCTAGTTCCCAAACCTATCTCTCTGATCAGGAGTTAGGGAGAGCGTGGGTATTTGAAATAGCCTAAAAGCCTTAACCTTTGATTTCTACAATCTCTTCCTCCCACTCTTGATGTTACAGCCAGCAGCAGCCTGGAGCAGCGCCCCCTGGAAAGAAATTTTACATCGGCCATTATAATACAACCTGATAAGTGTTGCAGCACTTACCAGGTTGTATTGTAATTGTCTGTGTATATGCCTATCTCCCTTCCTATGTTCTCAGTTAGACTGTAAGCTCCTTGAGGGCAGGGACAGTGTCTTCTTCAGAGCCCAGCCTGGCACATTAGTAGGCCTCAGTAAATGTTTATTGGATGAATAAATGAATGAGTCATCAACAAACATTTATCGTGTGCCTGCTAAGGTGATCTCCACAGGCTCTGGACTGTCAACTGTTATTCACAACGCATGTGGTCAGAAACGTGCTGTTCCTTTCTAGTTATGTATATAAAGAGTTTTTCTGAGATAATGCTATTTTTGTGTTTGGATTTCAGTCCTTGGTACTTACAGATGTTGCTACCGTTACTGCTGCTGACATCCTCTTCCTTGGTGGGACCTGGGTGATAGCTGCCAGATCAGGAGCCTCATCCTCACTGCCCAGGGTGCGCTAAATGGTTCCTATCTGTAGACTCATCCCCTTTTCAGTCCTCCTCAGGTCATCCTTCAAGTGGTGTTCCTAGGTAGGACTGCACGTTCTAGATGAGGGGTAGGCAAATGCAGCCCATGGACTGCCTTGTTTTGCAAATAAAGTTTTTTTGGAACACATGTTATTTGTTGATATTTTGTCTGTGGCCTTTCTGTCCTGCAGCAGCAGCGTTGAGTACATCAGAGACCTGGTGGCCCATAAGGCCTGTCCTTTACAGAAAAACATTGCCTACCCTGCTTTGGATCACTAAGCGACGGTGATGGTTTCATGTTCCTTTCCATTCACCAAAGATATTTTTAGCATCTCAGAAACTCATTTATTTACCTCATTCATTATTCTTTATAACAGGTCTTTTTCCTATTTTACAGGTGGGCCAGCTAGAACACACTTCAAGCTAGATTGATTATAAGGCCTCCACCAGGGTCCAGCAGTTAGTCAGTTATACCATGTACTTCAGCATCAAGTTTGGAGCTTCATCTCTAGAAACTCATTTTGTTAAATCCTAACTGAAGAATGTGGCCATATCATACCTTGGTGCCTTATCCCTTGACCCCCTCCTTCCTGCACAGCTCTTTGCAGTGAGAATATGGAAAGTAACAAACTGATGTGAGCTAAAACAGAAAGGTAGGCCAAGGCAAATGTTTACCAGGTCTGAATGCTAACAGACAAAGAAATGGGGTTTCTGAAATACTCAGAAGTTAGGAAGTCCAGTTAGGAAGCCTGGACTTCCAAGAGCTTAGGGCCTTTCCCTTTACCCTCCCTAACCTTCCACACATTGTCTTGGTAACCTGCCTCTGGGTATAATGTGATTCATTTCATGTCATTAAAAAGTTGAGAGCTCCCAAGTCCAATTCAAGAAAGCTATATCTAAAACAAACAAACAAAAAAGAGAGAATATAGAATAGTCTCATTCTAGGAGTAAAATGGTAGGAAGGGCCCTCACAGCATTGTTTTTTGAGCTGCTTATTGGATTTTTCCCAGCATCTTATTATAGAAAAATTTTAAATATACATACAGAAAAGTTGAAGAATTGTATATTGAAAACCTATCTACCTACCAATTGGATGTTGCAATTAACATTTTGCTGTATTTGTTTTATTGCATATTCATCCATCTTTGTCGGATAGGTTTTTAAAATGATTGTGGTGGTGTCCACTTTGAGCTCATCTGTATCTGACCCACATGGTACTAAAAAAAATAGTTTCTTTTTATTTTTATCTGTATTTCCCAAGTTGGAATGGATACTACTGCAGCCTAACTATGTGTAAGCAGATCTGCCTGGCAGTGAGATTCCAGGGAGAGAAGCCATTTGACGTCTTAAGGAAAATGGTTATAGCTCACTGTTTACTGGAAATGGTAGGAGAAGGAAAGATGGAAGTCCTGGTCCAGTGCCAATGAATCCTTCCAATAAAACATCACCTACACTTCATTCACTTTACTGCCTGGGGCTGGTGGGGGGTGGGGCAGGGAAATGGGTCATTTTCCCAGCAGCTTCTACTTGGTTCTTAACTTAGACTTGATGAAGGAAAAACAATGAAGTCACATAAAAATGCCACCTAGATGATTGAGGATTAGCACAACTCCTTAGAATATTAGAAGATGGATTTTTAATTTGGAGTACTGTCAAATAATACTCTTTTGGACCTTTTCTATTAGCAATAGCCGCAGAGTCATTTTAGGAAGCACCACAAACTGAACTCTAATTTCTCTTCATCATGAACATTGATAATGGTAAACGTTACCAGTTTCTGTCTGTCTCCCTTCATTTAGTCTCAAGGGCAGAGACTGTATCTTACTCATCTTTGTAATTCTCCTAGTAATGTTTGAATTCATAAAAAATGTATTATTGCATTTAATACCTATCACATGGGCAAATACTAAAAAAATGTTACTGGTGTTGGTGGGGTTATCCAGTTTCAGTGTAGTTCTTTGTAGGGGCAGTTTGGCTATATATATTATGGCAAAATAAGTATTATATGTCTTTTGACCACACAGTTTCATTTCTAGGGATATACCCCAAAATATTCTAAAGAAATCCTAAAGAAATATTCTAAGGATATCCTGAAAGATGTAGGTATGGGAATGTTTACAACGTTCATAGCAATAAAAAGTGGGGAAAAAAAACCTTAGCTATTCATGAGTGATCATTTGGATAGGTAAAATATTATTCATGTAATATTACAACATGGCATTAAAAATAAAAATAGTCTTGTAGATGAATATTTTACTTGGGAAGATTCTCAAGTATATTAATTGAAAAAAAAAGCTAGAGGGCAATAATATGGTTTTCATCCAGTTTTTGTGAAATAAAAATTAATGTTTGTGTACATGAAAGTAATTGGAGAAACATACCCCAAGTGTTAAACTTCCTGGGATTCTGCGATTTTTACTTTCCATCCTTAACGTATTTCTGGAATTTTTTTCATAGTGTACATTTATGACTTCAAAGTTAGTCAAACATGGAAAGTATTCCCATTTTGAAATTTGTTGACTTAAACAGAAGTGGAATAAATTGAGTGGCAAGGGGGCTGGGAACTGGAGTAGTTTAGTTTAGCAAAGAGCTAGGTGGAGTGGGAGAAGGGAGTGGTGGAAATAAGATCTCTGTCTTCAGAGAGAGGCATTAACTACCAACCACTTTCTGTTCTTGGCTCCTTAGTGCAGGCAGTTCATAGTAGGTGTCTACATTTACATTTGCCATTATTTCCCAATTATGCCCTATACAAATTTCTTTCCTGTTCTTGTCCCTCACGGCTGTAATAAGCTCAGTTGCTAGTGGCTGCTGCTGCTTGTAGGTGTGCAGATCTTTGTCTAGTAACAGCTGCTTTACTTTATCCAATAAAGAGATGGCTCGAGCTGATCAAGGCTCCTGCTCCCTTTCCCCAATGCCTGGCAGCATGAAATATTCCCCACTTATGGTGGGAGAGCTTTTTGCCTGGCTCTCATGATTACTAGTAGATTCTAAGACATTTTTGCCGACAGGGAATGCAGTAGTTAAAAATGAGCCCTGAAAAACTGCTCCTTGAATTTTCCTGGGGTTCAAGGGTTGTCTGCCTCTCACTGGGTAACAAGAAACCTAGTTGCATTTGCTGGTGCTGACAGCATCTAATCATTTTAATAGCTTGGGCTGTGGGCCATTGCTGAATTGCCAGATTTCTGGGTTGCTTTTCATGCTGAGCAGCTGGGGACTGGGAAACTTAGAGGCATTAGGCTGCTTTCTTAGAAAGAAAGGACCCTTGGGGATCTTTGGCTTAATCCTGTGTGGGTCTTAGGTCTCAGAGTCCCATTCTTCCTAGTGGATGAGTCTTGGGAGATAGGGGAGTAGCCATTGGCCTGCCTAGCTCCCTTTGATCATTTTGGTAACCTGAGCATCGAATAAGGCAATAGATAGTTTAATTCCTTTTCATACACAGTTAAAGTGAGTCCTGGTGGGAATTGAGACTGTGAATGACAGGCCTTGGCCCAGAGCCCAGGGTTTTGTTACCTTTCCTCATTAATGTGAACCAAATGCCATCCAATGACCAGATAGATGGAGGTTTCATCCGCTTTTAGGAAGCTCTTTTAGCTAGAATTACAGAATGGAGGGTCATAACTGCTAGACAGAGAAGGACCCCCAAGGAATCAAGTTTACCCCCACTCAGAGGGTCTAAAGAGGGGAAAAGACTTGTAGGCAGTTAGGAAGATCAGCATGAGTTAATATCTGAGTTCTAACACTTTGATATAGGTGGTTACTTGGTGTCTCAGTATCCAAGTTAATCTCATTTAAAATGGATACAGGAATTATTATTAAATAGTAATTGTTGACATTGCAACAGTCTGCCAGATAAAGTAGAGAGCAAAATCTGAGGTCCATGGTATGGGCTGGATGACTTGACTAAGGTGGTAAAACTAAATCAAAGCTGTATCTCAAACCTTGGCTATTCGGTCTTAACATTTGTTTCTTCTTCCTTCTTGCTATTCTCCAGGTGGCACCAAGTGTGATCAGAAGCCATGCCACTGGTGAAGAGGTATATTGAACCCTGCCTGGCCCAGTGAGGTTACTAGAGAATTGGGAGAGGCTTAGATCAATGTCCTGCGCATGGTTATCTACTCATTGTGAAGTCTTGGTAAGTGGCTAGTGGCTTTGGCGGGCTAGAACAGTTAGTGGGAAAGGGCAGGGAAGGTGGTCTTAGTTGGTGTTAGGTGATTACTTGATATTTTCCCCATCACAGTATGAATAAAAAAATGTCTTAAAATGTTTAGACTATGTTTGAAAGTAATGAGAACCTTTCCTTTTTTCATTCTTCCATTTTTGCAGATGAGGGAATTGCTTATCTTGCCCAAGATTATAGCTGGTTGGTGTAGGAAATAGATTTGGATGTAAGCCAGTGCTGTGTCTTCTACCCAGTGCTTCCTCTAGGTTCCATCTGAGTCCAAGGAGGCCATGTAAGACAGAAATGTTTTTTATTCCACACGGAAAGATTTTTTTATAAAGATTTTTATTTATTTATTTGACAGGCAGAGATCACAGGTAGGCAGAGAGGCAGGTGGGGGGCGGGGAGGCAGGCTCCCCGCTGAGCAGAGAGCCCGATGCGGGGCTCGATCCCAGGACCCTGGGATCATGACCTGAGCTGAAAGCAGAGGCTCTAACCCACTGAGCCACCCAGGTGCCCCAGCACACTGAAAGATTTTTATAATAGTTTGTTCTTGCCCAGTGAAGGGAGTGTTCATGGTGTAAAAATTTTTTACACAGAAAATCACCTGGGATGCCTGTTAAAAATGCAGATTCCTGGGCAGCCAGAACCTTGTCATTGGTCAAGAGCAACACTAAGACCTACCTGTCATTTATGTTGAGGCTTCTTGCCCAGTGGGTTCATCAGCAAGCCAGAATGAAACGCCATTGCCATGGATGTCCTTGTGATGCAGTTGGGAATTCTTGGTAAGTTGCCAGTGGTTTGGGTGGAGGTTCCCCAGTTGGGGGTAGAGAAGAAATGGTTGTGATGTGGCACTTCCTCCCTTCCTCTAAACAGACAGTTATTAAGTGCTTACTAGTTGCCAGAGACTATTCTAGATAATAACAGAGTTCTGCCATCATGGAACTGTCATTCTTATGAAAGTAAAGAAAGGAATAAAGAAACAGTAAGAGCATAAAGTATCATAAATGTTCCATTAGGGTATGAAAATGGGGTAAAAAAATGGGTGGGTTAGACTAAGCAACACCTTGTGTTTTTCCCCCACTTCCCATTCTCCCTTTTAAAAAAAAAAAAAAAGATTTTATTTGGGAGCAAAGGAAAGCAACTGAGTGAGCACAAGTTGGGGGAGGGGCAGAGGGAAAAGAAGAGAATGAGTCTCAAGCAGACTCCATACTGAGTGTGAAGCTCGATGTGGGGCTTGATCCCACGACCCTGAGATCATGACCTGAGCTGAAATCAAGAGTCGGATGCTTAACTGCCTGAGCCACCCAGACACCCCCCCCCTCCATTTTCCCTTTTAATACTTGCCACGTCTTTCAGTACAGTGGAGGCTGACTGAGCTGAGTCTGGGAGGGTCACAGATGATGAAAGCAATCTTTTTCCTTTTTGTAACCCCTCCCTAGGCTGAATTGTGAAGGATGTCTTTTGGAAAGTGTTTTAGAGAGTCTGCTAGCTCTTCCACGTGAGTGAACGTGTAACAGAAGAGGGGATCCTCTTGGTGATTTAGGTAAATAGGGAAAGAAAGGACGACTGCCCTGACTCTTGTCAGGGAGGCTCATAGAAATGTCATTTGCGGGGACCAGTGCCTTTAAAGCCTACAGTTTATTCTGTAGTACATCCTCCTCAAAACAGTTGGGGTAAATTACATGCTTACCCAGTCTGTGATCACCCCTGCAAAGGATCCGAACTGTAATGGTTCCCAAGTAAACCAGGTAGCATGAGCTACTTGTCACAAATATTGTCAATATGACACTGATTATACTTCCCTTATGGGGGGAGTCTATTCTTTTTAACCAGATTTGTTGGGAGCTTTTATCAGGCAGTGGAGCTACATATATCTTGTCAAAAGTCAGCTCATAGCAGAGACTCATTATTTCAGTGGCAGCCAAGTATATAGCACTTTGGGTTACTAATTTCAGAGGCAGCAGGGTCTTCGATTGCACTTAAATCAACTGGACTAGTATTTGTTTTTAGCTCCTAAGGGGTCTGCCTCCTCATAGGCTCCAGGGAGCGCTTAAATGGTCCAGAGTTAAAGTAGGCAGCATATATAGTATAATCATCCCTGGGATACCTTTGCAGAGGCCCACCCTGACTTTAAGCTTTTTTAGGGAATGCCAGATCATTCATTGCTGTCTGCTGTTTTTCATAAAAGTAATAAATGTCACCTTTTCCCATGAGGATGGTCTTGAGATGGTGCCTTCATAGCATAATGTTCCTCATATGATCTCTGGCATATTTGGATAATTTCTACTGCCAGTATTTAGATAATTAGCCTGCACAGGGAACTGAAATGATAGGAAAATTGTCTTTTCCCTAAGGAGAAGCCTGGGCTAGCCATTTATACAAAGGGGAGTCCCTGTATTCCATGTCCTTCACGACTTTTTCTTTTAAGATTTTATTTATTTATTTGTCAGAGAGCAAAAGAGAGAGAGCACAAGCAGGGGCAGCGGCAGGCAGAGGGAGAGAGAGAAACAGACTCCCCTCTGAGCAAGGATCCTAATGCAGGATTCAGTCCCAGGACCTTGGGATGATGACCTGAGCCAAAGGCAGACGTTTAACTGACTGAGCCACCCAGGCGTCCTCCTTCACAGCTTATTTTAAAACAACATCAGTCTTGTATAAGGATATGAGTGTTAGCATGCTGTCAGAAAGCAAGTCTTCCTCTCTCTTTCTTTATATGGGCCAAAATGGGTTGTATAAATCTGGCTTTTGCTATCTGAACTAGGGCTTCCCTATTCCCATTATCTGCTCTTTATTTTTGTTGACAGCAGGTCTGTTTTTTTTTCTTTTATCTCTCTCTTTAGGCTCGCCATAACGCCTGTAGGAGCACCCATGCATGACTTTTAAAAACTTTGTGCCTGAGGTCATATAACAATAACAGTGATTATCAGTTAATTATAAGTGCCTTTCCTGTTCTGGGCAAGTGCTTTACACATATTTGTCATCTCATTTTAACTTAACAGTAACTCTGTTAAGGAAGTCTGATTTATTACTGCTTTGTAGATAATAAAGCTGAGGATCAGAGAGGTGGTTTCCCCAGCATGCCACAGGGAGCCAGTGGTGGAACTGTATGTGCCACACTCCAAAGATCTTAACTACCTTACTGTACTTGAAGCACTACAATGTGACGAGCATATTCTTCGCCATTGGGATATCCTGTCTCCTCATGGGGCCCTTGTCACTGTCTTCTTCCAGGACAGGGGCAGGTGCGAAGGGTTTGTTTTCAAAGGGGGATACAGATGTGCAAGAGAAATGGTGTGAGGGATGTGTAGGTCCCTTCAGTTTCTGGAAATAACCACTTTGGATGAACTAGCATTCCCCCCCCCACAGCTATTCACTGTGTGTTTATCATTGTCTTTTCACCTTTGAGTATTCTCCCCACCCCCATGCTCCTGCGTGATGTCTGTGTTAGACAATATCCATGGGGTTATGTTTTCTTCTACCCCAACAAAAAGGAATCAAAGGAGTCAGAGTCACAACTGAAAATCCACTGCTTACACAGTGTTAGTTCAGGTGCAGGCACACCAAGGGCTAGAGCAGCTTGCTGTGCAGATCAGTATGTGCCTGCTGGAATTCAGCATAAACACTGCATTCTGCCAGTGGACGGTACTGATAAAATTACCCTTTGTACGTAGTGAGTGGAAAATAACAGGGATACCGATCAGTTAATGCTTCCATAAATTATATTGCTGGTAAGGTAACAGTGTCCAAATAGTTGGCATAGACTAAGGTTTGGCCAGCTCTGGCCCACATGGCAGCTTGTTTTTGCAAATATGTGGTTTTGTTGGAACAGAGGATCATGCTTATTCTCTGTTGCTCACGGTTCCTTTTGTGCTGCAGCAGCACTGAATAGTTGCAGTGGACTCTAGCCCCTCACAGAAAGTGTGCCGACTCCAGGCATAGGTTAAATGTACTCTGTCTACAGATCCACATTTATTGGAACATAGCACCACATTGATGTGTGTGTTGTCTGTGCCTGCTTTTTGCTCCAGTTCAGAACAGTGAGGCAGAAACCATATGGCCTGCAAAGCCTAAATTATTTACTACCTGGCCGTGAACAGAAAACCTTCGAGGTTGCTCTTTTGCAATAGTTACCAGATCCCTTACAAGGATCATCTTTGATGGCTTTAAATGCCTCATTAGCGGGGCGCCTGGGTGGCTCAGTGGGTTAAGCCTCTGCCTTCAGCTCAGGTCATGATCTCAGGGTCCTGGGATCGAGCCCCGCATCGGGCTCTCTGCTCAGCAGGAAGCCTGCTTCCCCCTCTCTCTCTGTCTGCCTCTCTGCCTACTTCTGATCCCTCTCTCCGTCAAATAAATAAATAAAATCTTTAAAAAAAAATAAATAAAAAAAATAAATGCCTCATTAGCAGTTTTGTCATGGACTATTAGGGACTGTTTTTCTCTTAAAATATGTGGGGGAGATTCTCACTTCCTTATTCCCAGATGTGATTCCCTGGCCAATTCCAGAATACTCACATTCTTGGTGAGCTTCAGTTGTGGCTGGAATCCTGTTAGTGATTTCTGGTATTGTTGGCTCCTTTGTTTTCAAGAACCAGACTTCTCTTGGGCCATCCAGGCGATTTGGACCACCTACAGCTAAGCGTGGCCAGCCTCCAAGATAGACAAGGATTGCCTATGAATTCAAATACAGAAAACCCTGTATTCGAATAAAGACAATTAAAAAAATAAAATTCAGTTTCCCCTCTGAGGAAAATGGTCTGAGGATTAGACATGGTGGTTCAAAGACCGATCTGGGAATGTCGGCAATAGGGGCTTGTATCCTACTTCTGGTATGTCACCTTTAACATCTTTTTTAAAATAAATATTGGATATAGTTAATGTATAGACCCAATGTTTTGATACACATTGTGAAATGATTACTATAGTCGGATGCCAAACTGTCTTCTCATTTACTTAAAATTTTCTAGGAAGGCACCTGAAATATACTCTCTTAGCATATTTTCAGTATTCAATACAGTATTAATTGTGGATACCATGTCATACATCATGTCTTAATTCCTCTTTATCACTCCTTTTCTCTTTTTTTGTTTCTGCTTCCTCATATCTACTCAAGCTTTAGTTTACCTCCTAGCTTTGTAGTCTGCATCCTCATAAATTTTCAATTACTCATCATTAAACCTTGCTTATCTCTCTGGTATCCTTGACTGTATCTCATGTTTCCCAACTCTGTCCTTTACGGTTCAACTCTCTTGGCTCTGGGCCTCACTGTCTTTGCATTTCACAAACTTCATTGTTTAGTGCAAGAATTTCAGTGGCTTAGCTCACGGCTGCTTGGGTAGTCACTTTCTGAGTTATGCAGTAACACAGCACTTGGGTGGTGTATTTTACACCTGGTACATTCTCCTTTGGATGACAAGACAGATCATATTCTAAAATTTATTGCTGTCTAGGACTTTTCTCCAGAACTACCTCTGGCTGGGACAGTTTACCTTAGATGGGACTATGAGTGTGGCTACCATTTAATTGAGATGTGTTTGTATTACATTTTTACATCTTGACCTCTAAGTATATGTGCTCATCATTTCAAATATTCATTTCTAAAGATGCTCTGTCTGTACTTTTCCAACTTGTACTTAAGTATAAATGTTGGAGAGTAACTAAGTCAAGCCATATGCCATAGTCTGAAGTAATACCATAAGGACACTTTTGAAATTTGCTTTCTAATTTCAGAAGCACTCACCCATCTGTGATCTTCCTTAGCCATTTGAATTTTTGTCTGTTGTGATTGTGTCAAACTTACATTCACTAGATGTATGGTCCTGTGACAATAACTTTGCCACACTTTGAGGTTCTTAAAACCAGCCAGGGTTGTGGTGGATGTATCTGCTCTCTATCCCAGCACCAGGTAATAATCAGGTCTGAATATTTCACATTCCTGCCAAAGTTCTGTTCATGTAGCCCAACTCCTTACTATTTTCTAAATTACATAGGATTTCTGGTTTCAGGATATAAGACACAGGCTTAGGTCAAGAAGCAGGTGTTTATCAGACAGATACACGTAGTAAGGAAAATAGCGATTTCACAGGAATCTCAAGAACAGTGGTATGGAAATTCATCTATGGTGGCTCTAGGGATTAAGCACATGGAATTAGTGGACCTGTTCACTGTTCCATTGACTTGATTCAGCTTTCTATTCTCCTGTCTTAGCTATATTTTCCCTCATTCATATTCTTTTGCCTGGCTTTGCCATTAGCTTCAGATTTCACAGTTAATTACTTTTTCCCATTGTTTCTTCTCAAATTTCAAAGAGTTTGAGCACATCTAATTGGCTTAGTTTATCTTTGTTTGTGTGGTGTTTTTTCATGCTTAGACAGTTTATAGGCCACTGGCAGTGTATAGATTGATCCCACCAACTGTACTCAGGGGAGAGGATATAATACTGGATAATGTGAAACAAAACCTGATCATAAAGGGCTGTGCAACAGCTGTGACAATAAACAGGTCTTTAGAAGGAGGCACCTGGGTAGCTCAGTTGGTTAAGCATCCAACCTTTGGTTTCAGCTCAGATTGTGATCTCAGGGTCCTGACATGGAGCCTCGCATCAGGCTCCACGCTCATCAGGGAGTCTGTTTGCAATTCCCTCTCTCCCCCTCCCCACCATGCACTCTCTCTCTCTCTCTCTTTCTCAAGTAAATAAGTCGTTCAAAATAAAAAAGAGAAGGAAATGGGTATATGTTTGGAACCAGAACTGACAGAATTAGTCCAGTGGTTCTCAGATTTGTGAATCTGTTTTCTATCCATGTTATTCCATGCCTGTTGGAATGGTAACTGAGAATCATGCCTATCTGTAGGCATAGAGAAATCTATAATAGAGACAAAATCGTGCTTTCTAGTGTCAGCACCTCATGATTGTATCAGAATTTGTACATCATTGTTGGAAGGGAAACTGTCAAACCCTGCTTTGCTTTTTTCTTTGAAGTTGCTGTAATACCAGCCACTACGATTGCCTCAGAGCTTCACCCTGAATGGGTACATGTCTGAGTCACAAAGGCAATTGCATAACTAGTGGCTTTGCCACAGTATAAGCTGGACTTCTAAAAAACGTTTCATCCTGGTATGTGGCGGGGATTGTGTGTGATTTTCACTCTAGAGTCATACTCTAACAATTTCAAATGTTTCTTTCTGCTGAGGGTTTTTCATGCAACTATATACCTGATACTAATTTCTATACTAATTTGGTTCTTTTGGTCCCAGGAAATGAAGTCTCACTCAGCCTACCACGTTAATAGGGATTTACTGTATGTAAACATGTGGAACCTAGTGGAAGATGGGGATTTAGTGGGACTCTGAATGAACAATATTGAATACAGGAACTAGATTGAAGCAGCCCTGAGGTACCTTAACGGCAGTACATTTGGATCATTGCTCTTGTGCGTCACCATTGACATTATGCAGCCACTCTGCGTTTGCCATTTCCCCTAGCTTAGTGGTTTTCTATCACGGTTGTACTTGAGAATTAACTGGGGAACTTTAAAAATAAACCAAAGCAAGATATTGTGATTTAATTGGCCTCGAGTGGCCCCCAGCACCCACATTTTTAATAAAACTTCTTCCCACTCTTCATTCTTCTTTTGCAATCAGCTGGCTTCCCCAACCTTTATTTCTCTACCTTCTACCTTCTGCTTCCTTGTGGTACTCATGGATTGTAGTACCTCATAAATTTGCCTTTTCTTGGCCTGCATGAGCTCCCTTAAAGCAGAGGCTACAGATAAGACAGCATAGTTGAAGAATCTACTGCAAGGGTTGGCAAACATTTTCTGTAGAAGTCCCAGATAGTTCATACTTCAGGCTTGTGGGCCACACAGTCTCTTCTGCAACCATTTGCTTGGAGAATCAGCCACAGACGACTAATACAAAATCTGTTGGCAGCCGGAGTTGACTCATTGGCTCTAGTTTGCTGACCCCTAATCTATGCCCTTCTTGTTTAAAGTAAAACTTCCTATTTATTCTTTCTCAATATTTTCTTAGCTACTCTTCCCTAATTTATTATTAACTGAATTTAAGAAGTATTTTGTAGGGGGTTCCTGGGTGACTTAGTTGGTTAAGTGGCCGACTCTTGGTTTTGGCTCAGGTCGTGATCTCAGGGTCCTGGAAACAAGCCCCTCATCAGGCTCTGTGCTCGGTGGGGAGTCTGTTGGAGGATTCTCTCTCCCGCTCTGCCTCTCACCCTGCTTGTGCACACTGTCTCTCACTCTTGCTCTCTCGGTCTCTCTCTCTCAAATAAATTACTACAAGAACTATTTTGTAAAATTCTGCTTTGTCTAGGGGCACCTGGGTGACTCAGTGGGTTAAGCCTCTGCCTTCAGCCCAGGTCATGATCTCAGGGTCCTGGGATGGAGCCCTACATTGGGCTCTCTGCTCATCAGGGAGCCTGTTTCTGCCTCTCTCTCTGCCTGCCTCTTCTGCCTACTTGTGATCTCTCTCTCTCTCTCTCTCTCTCTGTCAAATAAATAAATAAAATCTTTAAAAAAAATTCTGCTTTGTCTAAAGAATTCACTTGGGGATATTGTAATAGCATTTGATTTGGACATTCATTTGGTCAGATTTAACATGTTTGCAACATTTCTTCTCCCCTTCTAAAAACATTTATTAAACTCTTTATATCCTAATAATCATAATTTTCATCATGTGAATCTCTAATTTCTTAAGTCATTCCTTGCTTATTTGATGCCGTATATAGCCAAAAATTAGATTGTTTTCTATTAATTTTAATAAGTGGTTATTTTTCTTAGATTATTTCAAAATGGAAGTGCTGTTGTTCCTGGTTATAAAGTGAAGAGGTACTTATAAACAATTCAGATAACACAGGATATAAAAAATACAGTCAAAATAAGCTATAATCCCATCATTTAACCAAAACCACCTTTAAACTTTTGGTATGTAAACTTCCTGAATGTGAGGCTGTCTTAGTCTAATGTTATTGAGCATTTATTTTATCTAATTATGCCACCTGTTCAAATTCTGTACCGATTAAGCAATTTTATGATATAATTTGGCTACAGGAAAAGAATGTTCTTCATGTGGAAACAAGTATTCTGGTTGCATTGATGGGGCATGCTTACAATCTTGTAAATTTAAAAATTGGCTTGTTGAAGATTATTTACTTCTTACATGTCAGCTGTGGTGAATGCCCTTGTAATTTATTTTTATACTTGACTCATCATTTCCTTACCAACTGTAATTTTTAGTCACAGAAGCTGCAATGAATTCTCTCATGGCCCTGAAGTATGGTTTGTTCCCATGGAGAAGAACCTAACAGAAGATTGATAGCGTGGACATGTTGTTTCTGGCATCAGGGATGAGGGTAAGTATGCATTTGGAAGTATTAAAAGAAGATAATGTGGTAATAAAAATCAACAGCTATAGTTTGTTAGGAGAAACTCCCTCATTTTCTAACTGAACCTAGAGAACTACTTTAGACAGTTTAGAGAGAGCATATATAGATCTGAGGCAGGGTTGCTGGAAGTTAGCTACAGTGGGCCACCAAGGGATTTTTTATACTCCTTGAAGTCATCCAAGTAGAGAGAAATGCTTGAACTTTTTTTAAAATTTAAAATAAGAATGACTATTTTTATCTGGAACTTGATAGTAACGTCACTAATTAAAAGTAGGATATAGGATATATTACAACTGAGACCAATAGCTTAAGATCTAAAAAGAACTTTTGCATCACTAAAGTATCTTGCTGGGAACAAGTTAAGGAAACAAATGTACCACCTTTTTTTCTTTTCTTCTTTTTTCTTTTTTTTGAAGAAAGGTACCATCTCAAAACAAAACAGAATGATTTGCCTAGCTAGGAAGATGCTTTTTTTTCCCCCTAAAGAGTGGCTTGACATTTTGTTCTAAGTCAGAAGTAGCTGCCAAGCTGTGAGTTTATGTTCTGTAGATGTAGCCTCATTTATTGACAGATCTAATGCAATGATTTTAACAGATTTGACCATAAGAATAACACTCCCAAACATCTAATTATCATTAATGTAAATAGATGTATGTAATTGCAGTTATAAAAACCCAGTTTTGAAACCTAGAGGAGAATACATAATTTGGCATCTTAATATCAAAAAATAGATGGTTTGTTGGGGGTCACTAGGTCACAGTCCTTAGCATGTAGTTGTACTCACAGCCAAGATACATGACAGCAGCACAATAAGGATATATAACTGTTCTAAAATTGTCATAAGGGAAGAAGAAAGAGAAGGGTGTGGAGAAATCTGTATGCAGGCTTCCATATGTTCTCCCTCCTGTGAGCAGTCGCAGAGTACATCCTCCAGCAACAAAAATGCAGCACCACGTGTGCACTGTTGCTGCCAGGGAAGCCTGTTTGATAGAGACACAGCAGCCCGTGTTTTTATTGCGGACTGGTCACACTGGCACCTTCTGCTTCGTGTGTACCAAAATTCACTTCTCAGAAGGAAAGTACGTGTTCGGTAGGATCCACATTATTTCTACCAGTAATCTAGGCATAGTGAGCCACCTTTATCAGTTAGGAAAAGCTTTCTACCGGGATAGGGAACTGTTTGCCTGTAAAGTTCCCAGGTGCCAGCTAAGGCCAGCCTTGCAAAGCAGGCCTGAGGACAGTAGTCTTAGGCTTGCTTATGTTAACTCTTCTCAGTGTACATGGGTTGAATGTATAATAAAAAATCGGAATTAGAGCATTCCATAATTGATCACATTCATACCCTGTTGAAGGGAAGAGGGTGGGCCATTTTGATAAGAGTGAATTTAAATACATGATTTCTGTTCTATTTGCAGCATGTGAAAAATTTGAGAGTGTCTATCTGGGACTCTTACGTCAAAGTGTGATCTAAGCTTATCTCTGAAGTATTTTTAACAAAATCTTTGACACACTGGCTTTTTCTTTTCTGCTTCCTTTTTTTCTCATGCTGTTGTGACAGTTAACTGTGAAAAGTGTGTTAATTTTAAAATTCTTGTGTCATTTCTTCCCTACACATTAATTTGGAATTTGACATTCAAGGAACCATTCTTTAAGAAATAAGTCTAAGAGGGGGCACCTGGGTGGCTCAGTGGGTTAAAGCCTCTGCCTTTGGCTCAGGTCATGATCTCGGCATCCAGGAATAGAGCCCCGCATCAGGCTTTGTGCTCAGCGGGGTGCCTGCTTCCTCCTCTCTCTCTCTTTCTCTCTCTCTCTGCCTGCCTGTCTGCCTACTTGTGATCTCTGTCAAATAAATAAATAAAATCTTAAAAAAAAAGGGGGGGCACCTGGGTGGCTCAGTGGGTTAAGCCTCTGCCTTCGGCTCAGGTCATGATCTCAGGGGCCTGGGATCGAGCCCCACATCGGGCTCTCTGCTCAGCGGGGAGCCTGCTTCCCCTTCTCTCTCTGCCTGCTGCTCTGCCTACTTCTGATCTCTCTCTGTCAAATAAATAAGATCTTTAAAAACATTAAAAAAAAAAAGAAAGAAGTCTAAGGGAGTGTGAAATTTTTGTTCTGTGGTCTCACATAAATTTAATTAGAAAACAAAGTTGGTTTAAAATAACGGGCCAAGAGATTTAAAAACAGATGAACTGTGCTGTCTGGACATAATTCAATTTAGGTAATCCTGTTTTTGCCCATTATCAGAAATTAAATGAATTGCTGTAACCTTTTTGATATATTTTCCTGGTAAAGTTAAAAATGTTAAGGGGCCCCTGGGTGGCTCAGTTGGTTAAACATCCACCTCTTGGTTTTGGCTCAGGTCCTGATCAGGAGGTCCTGGGATCGAGCCCCAGGTTGAGCTCGCTACACAGCGGGGGGAATCCGCTTGTCTCCTCCTCTCTCTGCCTCCCCTTGCTCACACTCTCTCTCATTCTCTCTCAAATGAATAAATAAATCTTTTTTTAAAAAGTTGAAATCTGTACACCAAAATGTTAACATTAGTTATCTTTTGAGGCAGGTTTAGCTAAGTAATTGTTATTTTGCGGGGGTAGAGGGGTATTGTGGTTTCCTTGATTTTCTTTTTCTTTTTTTTTTTAAAGATTTATTTATTTGACAGAGAGAGAGATCACAAGTAGGCAGGCAGAGAGGCAGGCAGAGAGAGGAAGGGAAGCAGGCTCCCTGCTGAGCAGAGAGCCCGATGCGGGTCTCAATCCCAGGACCCTGAGACCATGACCTGAGCCGAAGGCAGAGGCTTTAACCCACTGAGCCACCCAGGCGCCCCGATTTTCTTTTTCTTAATGAAAATATACTGTGTTGAGGAAAAGTAAATAATTTACTTATTTGGTAGTTTAACAATGAGAGATTGATACTGTTCTGTCACTACCTGTCTGTCCTGCAATTCAATTCATTTCTGAGACCAACTACCCCAAGTTAATGCCATATCCTAGAAGTTAAGGGCAGAGCCTTCCTGAAAACTGCCTTCTCATCAGCAAGTCTTAAGGCCACCTGTATTTCTGACCAGCTGGCTAAATTCGGGGGTTCCCATGGCCATTTCATGTTTGTTAATTTGCTAGAACAGTTTCCAGAACTCCCTGAAAGCACTATACTTACAGTTTTATTATAAAGGGTACAGCTCAGGAACAGCCAAATGAAAGAGATACACAGGACAAGGTCTTGGGGGGCATGGGGGGGCACAGTGTTCTAGGTAAGGAGCTTCTGTACTCTCTCGCCTTGGACTCCAGTAACGTCGCCTTTTTGGCACATCAGTGTTTACAATAATCAGGAAGATCCCTGAAGTCTGAGTGTTCAGAGTTTTATTGGGGGTCTTACTATGTTGTTGGCCACTTGATTAAGTTCAGTCTCTAGCCCTTCTCTCCTTAGAGGTCTAGGAGCTGGGGCTGAAAATTCCCTCCTTCTAATCCTGTGCATGGTCTTTCTGGCATGGCCATCCCTTCTCTCTTTAAACTATCCTAAGGCCCGCCTTGAGTCACCCCATAAGCATAAACTCAGTTGTGGTCAAAAGAGGCTTCTTATGAATAACAAAAGAATACTCCTTTCTCTCCGTTTTTTGGAGCTCTGTGCTATCAACAGGGGACAAAACAAATTTATTACACCGTTTTGTATTTTACCTCTGGTTTTGTAAGGTTTTTGTTACGAGGAGCAAAATGATAGATCCAGTGAGAGGATCATAATTTGTAAGGCTGCAGGGGATAGTGAGCAGTAAGGGAGGTAGGGATTTTGGTAGAAATCCATGAAAGGAACTGCTGAGTTGGCTGTGCCTCTCTTGGCTGAAAATTAGAAAGCCATTAGGAAATGGAGGCATCTGGAAAAACCCTCGATGTTTCTTCATTGGGTATATTTGGTCTACATTTCTGCTCTATCACCCTGCCTTTGATTGTTTTTGTTCCCTCCTATGTCCTTCTTTACCCTTGAGCTTTTGCTGACTCATAATTTCTTTTTTTTAATTAATTGTATTTTTTGGGTGTCTGCCTTCAGCTCAGGTCATGGTCCCAGAGTCCCAGGATCGAGTTCTGCATCAGCTCCCGGCTCCATGGAGCATCTGCTGCTCCCTCTGACCTTCTCTCCTCTCATGCTCTCTCTCAAATCAATAAATAATAATCTTTTTAAAAAATTGTATTTTTAAATTTTAATTCCAGGATAATTAACATATAGTGTTGTATTAGTTTCAAGTGCACCATACAGGGATTCAGCAACTCCATATATTTATTATTCAGTGTTCAACTCAGTGTTCATCAAGGTAAGTGTACTCTTAATTCCCTTCACCTATTTCATCCATCCCCCACCCACTTCCCTTCTGGTAACCATCAATTTGTTCTCTATAGTTAAGAGTTTGTTTCATGGTCTCTTTTTTTTTTCCTTTTTTTTTTTAAGATTTTTATTATTCATTTCTTTGACAGAGACAGATCAGAAGTAGGCAGAGAGGCAGGCAGAGAGAGGAGGAAGCAGGCTCCCCGCTGAGCAGAGAGCCTGATGCGGGACTCGATCCCAGGACCCTGAGATCATGACCTGAGCTGAAGGCAGAGGCTTTAACCCACTGAGCCACCCAGGCGCCCCTTTTTTTCCTTTTTCATTTGTTTTGTTTCTTAATTTCCACATATGAGTGAAAACATGTGGTATTTGTCTTTCTCTGACTGACTTATTTTATTTAGCATTATACTGTCTAGCTTCATCCATGTTATTGCTAACAGACTTAGCACTATATATAATAGCCACCAAATAATATTTTTAGGGCTTAAGTTTAAACTATTAGAGGTTCCAAGGGACCTAATTTTGTACATTAGGTGTTCTGCTAAAATTACCGTAATTTTGCACAAGGAATCATGTCACTCATAAATGTAGCCTTTTCCATGATGTTCCTAGATAAAATTTTGTCCATTTTTATTCCATATTAAGCTATTGGTCATCATCCATTTCTTTCTCCTGGAGTCATGGTACTTTGGTACCCTGTGATTTCCATTTTGTAGAAACTTAAAAATCTGTTGAAGTAATGTCAAGTGTCTGACTTAAGTTCTCCTTGGGCATTTCTTTGACCCAGAATGGTAGTAATTTTAGTGAACGATCTTTAATTGGTAATTTGATACTTTGGGATTGATTATTTTCTAGTTAAGGGACTACACAATATGTCTGTCAGTACCTGAGCTCGAATAATTGTTATATAAGCATTGCACCCTGGATCTGAAATTACATTGTTAAAACATAAGCTATAGACTTAACCACTTTCAACAAGTTGTATGAACCTCTTAAAACCAGTGAATTTCTACCAGAGTCATGGAGGTCAAAGGTATATTTTAGAATTTGTAGGAGTCCGCTAAGCATTAACACTTGAGACTCCAGTTAGGTTGGAATTATATAAGGTGGCCTGCCAACTTGCTTTGGTGTATTTTCCTATAATGCCTGATTAATTTGGCAGCCTAGTGGCAGGTTGGTTGCTGTTGCTGATATATAAGCTTCTTGCTGATATATATACAAGGGTGTATGCGTCTGTAGACAGAGGATTTTTGTACTTTTAGATGTGATTCCAACTCTTAAAACTGCCTGGCATGTAGTAGATGCTCATTAACTATTGAATAAACGTTGGTGTGGATACAGTACCAATACACATATATATGATACTATATGTATCATCTCTTAAATGCAAACAATGTGTTACACATTTATTTATATTTTTTATCTTATACACTTGTTTTTGGGTACTTTCACTAGTAATTCTGTATCATAATTTATGAGTAAAGAGTAGATAGTTGTAATAATTTGATTAGTTGGGTTGCTAAATTACCCTCTGAAAATGTTCTAGTCTTCCTCTTGTAGATTGTTTTTCAAAAACAATACGTGCGAATGGTAAATAGTATAAAATTCAATTTTTACTAAAGTTAATTTAGTTAAAAGTTTCCTTCCCACCCCTAGTTTTCTAGTCCTCAGTCTTCCTTCTTTCCAGATACAGGTATTGTTCCTAATTTCAAACATAGTCTCTACATGCATAAGTCAATAGTCTTGTTATAAAGACAGCATATTGTAGAAAAATAGCCTGATGCAAACTGAAAAAATGAAAGAAATACTTAGAACAACCTCTTGTAGTGATACAGAAGCACATAACCCAAATATAAATTTGGTGCTAAGATTCCGTAGGGATGGACCGGTGGCTCAGTTGGTTAAGCGTCTACCTTTGGCTCAGGGACCTGGGATTGAGTCCCACATCAGGTTCCCTGCTCAGCGGGATCCTGCTTCTCCCTCTGCCTGCTGCTCCCCCTGCTTGTGTGCATTCTCTCTCTCTGACAAATAAATAATTTTTTTAAAAAAGATTCCACAAGTAAATTCATGAGGAATACACAGGCAAGTGGTATTCATGCCATCTGTACAAGGATGGTTTGATTTTAGGAAATATGTGAATATTGTTTAAGACATTGTGGGTCAAAGGAAAAACTATCACAAGAGTAGCTCTACAAGTTGAACTTCCTTTTAGTATTTTTTATTTAATTAAAATTACCAGTCCATTTGGATCATATTTTGATGTCAGTCATTATGTAATCTCACATCTGATTTTTTAAAAGGGACAGCCAGTTGTCCAGTACTATTTATTGAAAATCCATCCTTTGTTTACTCATTTAAAATTATATCTGTCAAATATGAAATTTCTCATAATCTGGGTCTACATTTGGGCTCACTGGCTTCTGTCATTAGCTCTCTTTTCCTGGCAATTAAGGAATTATTTTGATTTATAAGTATTATAAATGTCACTATTTGGTGTGCTTATTTGCTGCCTGTCCACATTTAGATTCATTTGTGATACCATTTTGTAGACTCCAAATTTCTTGGTTCTACACAATAATTTTTGTATCAATGACTGTTCATTATGGTTCCTGACTTCCTCACTTCAACAATTTACTAGAATAGGCTCCATCTTGAGTTTTTTCATTATTCTATTTTATGTCAGTTCTGCCCAGGATTTTGTTTGTTTTTCTTTGCTGCTCTTTTATTTTCTTTCTGCCAGATGGCCCGTAAAGATGTCACATGGGATGTGTGTGTATGTACACACATGCATGTTGTGGAGAGAGAGACTTTATAATAGAAAAATTTACATGTTGAAATTAATATGCAGGGTGATTTTAATCAGAATGCATGTAATATAATAGACTTATATCAGAAACAGTATAGGTAATATTTCATGATCAAGGCTTTCTTGCCTTGTTGCTGCACATTGCTTATGTTCTTGGTTGAGTAATCATTTTTATGGGATGTTTCATGGCTGTCATAGTCATAAAGAGACCTCTCCCTGGCCCTATGTCTTTGCATGGTTCAAAGAGGACCCTTTGTCAAAACAAGTCATTCAGCTTTACATTCTAAAAATCATTGGTCTTAGTTAACATTTAATGTGACTATAGGCTGTGCATCAGAATACATGGCTCTTAGTTTGAAATGAAAATTCATGTATACCATAATTTATTAAACATAATTTAAGAGTTTACTTATTAATAAGCCTTTTGGTTGTCTTTCATAAATAACTGTGCAGTGAAAACTGGATCCATGTATCCTTATTTCTGTATGACCACATGGCAGAATCCTTGTAAAAGTTGATAAAAATATGAACAGATTTTGGTTATTAAAGTTCCTCCCAATTGTCCATCTAAAAATGTTTTGATATAGGGACGCCTGGGTGGCTCAGTCGGTTAAGCGGCTGCCTTCAGCTCAGGTCCGATCCCAGCATCCTTGCTGGGAGCTGAGCAGCTCCTTGCTCACCGGGAGGCCTGCTTCTCCCTCTGCCTCTGCCTGCCAGTCTGCCTGCCTGTGCACGCACTTGCTCGCTCGCTCGCTCTCTCTCTCTGGCAAATAAATCTTTTTTTAAATTTTTAATGTTTTAATATATGACACAGTGCTTTTATTTAACTATTTTATAGCTGCTTAAGCAATTTTCTTCAAAATATACAAAACTGTGGACTGCTTAACCTGTATTTTAGGACTGTATCACAAAACAGGTTTTCCAGAATTTTCCTTGCATACTCGGGATCTCACAGGGATACTACAAACTTGATTCAGTTTGCTTTGTTAAATTTGTAGTAAGTCACATTTTTAGTACACACCAAGTATCAAAATGTATGGTAACCTATTTATAGAGTAAAAATTTTGAGTGGATGTCATCATCCTGTTCATTATTAAATAAACTTTTTTGCTTTTAGAAAAGTTTTAGATTTACATGAAAATTACAAAGAGTTCTCATATACCCCACACTCAGGTTATCTTACATTAACATTTTATATTACTATGTACATGTGTCACATTTCCCCTCTCCCTACCCCTTGGTAAACTCTAATCTACTTTCACTCTCAGAATTTGCCAGTTCAAGGTACCTCATATAATCAGAGCAGTGCAATATTTGTCCCTTTGTACTTAGCTTATGTCACTTAACATATCTGCAAGGTTCATCATTGGTGTTACTGCATGTGCCAGAACTTCATGGTTTTTTTTCCATTGTATAGTCCACATTTTGTTTAGCCATTCAATTTTTATGTGCCACATTTTGCTTATATATATATGTATTAGCATATTTATTTATACATGTATTTTGTTTATCCATCTGTCTAATGGATAGCACTGCTCTAGAACATATTTTTGGTTGATTGTTATCACATTTTATTAGTCTAATTAAATTAGTCCTAGTAAACTGTACAATAGGAAATTATTTAACTCTTGCAATAGAATCCTGAAATTGTTTCTGGAGTATTAAAATAAAACTTCAGTCCACTGGAATTATGAAGCGTCCATATTTGTACTAGCACAGGCTATTCAAAAATTACCAAAAATGTTTTGTTATTCTAGAAATATTTCGAATCTTTGACATCACTGTCTGTTTTCCTCAGTTAAAAGTGAACAATAACACTAATTGGGTGGATAGTTTTGTGATTTAAAAAATACTTTTCTTTTAGCTATAATTTTTTTTAAGATTTTACATTTTCAAGATTTTACTTATTTATTCAAGAGAGAGAGACAAGCAGACACCGTGCTGAGCATGGAACCCGATGTGGGGCTTGATCTCCAGACCTTGAGATTGTGACCTGAGCCGAAACCAAGAGTCAGATACTTAAGCAACTGAGCCACCCAGGTGGCTCAGCTATTATTTTTAGTGTAGGCTGGTATGTTATGTAGGAATATTATCTACTTCCTGAACATCTCTTTTCTTTCCTTTATTCCTTCTTAGTCTCTCTGTACTTTCTGAGGGCCTTTAGTCAGTTTCTCTACGGAAGA